TTACAAGGTTGAATGGCAATTGTATTAATTTGATTGTCGTTGTCTGAGGAAGAAATTAGACTGCTAGTGATAGAAAGAGATGTTAATACAATTAAAGACAGCTCAAATTTTTATTTCATGTCTTTAGTTTATAATTTCATGCAGTTAATTAGGATGTTGCTTAAATCCACAACCCACCTTGCTATCAGTTAAAAGCGGTGGGAGAAGGTTGAATGGCAATTGTATTAATTTGATTGTCGTTGTCTGAGGAAGAAATTAGACTGCTAGTGATAGAAAGAGATGTTAATACAATTAAAGACAGCTCAAATTTTTATTTCATGTCTTTAGTTTATAATTTCATGCAGTTAATTAGGATGTTGCTTAAATCCACAACCCACCTTGCTATCAGTTAAAAGCGGTGGGAGAAGAAAGGAAAATATTTATTGATTTGGAAAGTATTTAATTTATGTCTACACTTGCACCCTATTTTGAAATAGGGATGTAAATGTAGGCATTCAAAATAGTAAATGAAGCCATAATTTAAATATCCCATGCTTCATTAGTATAATTGTGTCCTGGCGCTATTTTGAAATCACGCTATTTCAAAATAAAACGCCTGTTTAATGGCGTTATTTCGAGAGAAAACCCCTCTCTCGAAATAACTGGTAAACCTCATTGTATGAGAAATAACAGTTATTTCGAGAGAGAGGTTTTCTCTAGAAATAAAGCAGTTACACTGGGTGTTTTATTTTGAAATAGCGTGATTTCAAAATAGCGCCAGGACACAATTATACTAATGAAGCATGGGATATTTAAATTATGGCTTCATTTACTATTTTGAATGCCTACATTTACATCCCTATTTCAAAATAGGGTGCAAGTGTAGACATACCCCTAGTTCCAGAATGTAAATCTTAATTAGTGTCATATCATGTCTTCTCCTGGTATATTTATATTATTTCCATAATGGGAGTAATATATGTTGCATTGGGAAGGGGAATTACCACTGTCACTGGGTACAGATCATATAAAAGAATAGGCAGATGCCTAGAGCAGTGGAGAATTTAGGTTAAGACTTTCACAGTTAGGTACTAAGTAAGTAGCCTGGTTTCAAAAGTGCTTGGCACCCTACACTTAATCATTGAAGTCATTATGACGCACTTTGGGGACGCACTTCTGGAAATCATGGTCTCAGTGCATGTGAATGACTATATGGGTGGCAGGTATTTCTCCCATTTGTCTAATCCAGTGAACCCTGGAGTCTGCATTAATTGTCCTCCATTGGCCATCTCTGCTGTAGTGTATTGGCAGTAACTACATGCAGCCTTTCTTTTCAGAACTGACTACAAATTGGACCTCCCTGGTTCAGCACCACTGGGACCTTAGCGGTCCTGAATGAGAGAATTAGCCAGACCAGGGGAGGTCCTCAGCCACTGACCCTCAAGCCCACCACCTGCTTCCAGCAGGCTATGGCTATCGCAGGCCTTGACCTTCCCCCATCAACTGGCTGGACTGCTTGCCCAGTTGCTGATGTGTCCCTGGGTGGCCCAGATTCTGGCTCCTGCCATGAGGCTGCAGCCCTGCTTGTCATGGGCTGCCGGGTGGCCCAGGCCCCATGCTCCTGGGGGGTTGCTGTGGGGTTTTGGCCCTGGCCCCACGGTCTCTGGGGGGCCCCAAGCTAGGCTGCCAACCTTGTTGTTCCTGGCCCCAGCTAGCCCTCCTGTCATTAGGCGTCCAAAAGCATCTGTAGTCCAGATGTTGCCAGACCAGAGAGTGCCAGTTTTCAGAGGTGCGACCTGTACTACATTAATCATGGTTAATGGTTATAGTTTTAAAACTTGACATGTAGCATTCCATGGCTGACCTCCAAGTCCTCTCTCTCCTGATATTATCCCCAAGAACAATATACAGTATACTTCCGATAATCCGGAACCTTTGGGACCTAGCCGGTGCCGGATTATCGGATATGCCGGACTATCAGGAGGTACTATAAGCTCGTTATATATATATACTGTATACATTATATACTGTATATAAAGTGTTCTTAACCCTTTTTATTGTACATACTGTATACAGTATACTGTGATGTTTTAGTTTTTTTAACCCTTTTTTACCCTTTTCGCTCGGTTCAGCTGCTGCCTCTGTTGCCTTGTGACTCGTTTTTTGCCAAAGCTCACTCACTAGGCTATTGCCATTTTGATGCCGGACTATCAGGAGTGCCATACAATTGGATGCTGGACTATTGGAGTTTTACTGTATTTAAATATTTCTATTAAAAATGAACCAGCAGGATGTTTACAAATATACCACCCAATATTATAGCTTCAATTCTCCGCTTCTCTTCCCTCTTCTTTGTTGTTGTATAATCTTTTTGGAGCAAGGACCTCTTATGTGATTTGCCCTTGAAGGGACAATCACACTTACAGTGCAGAATAAATAATAACTAGATCTTTACTGAATCTGTTTTAATGTGCAAGCTGCAAATGACTTGACTGAGAAGTATTCCAGAGCATGGAACACTGTGGCATAACTTTTTTTTTTTTTTTTTTAAATCAAGTGCAAGCTCCTACTGTTGGGTTGAGGGGACACAAACTTGAACTTTGTATCTTTGTGGTGTTTGGCTAATGGACCTCTTTGTGTACTTGGGGTAGAGGGTGGGTGCAGAGAAGGGAGAGGGAGTTTGTAGGTCTGAAAAAAACAGATCAGTTCCTAAAACAGGGATTTTAGGGTATAAATTAAAGAGACAAAAGTTCCTAACTGCCTGAGTTATTTTATAAGTGAGACTGTCTGCTGAGTCACTTGAGCTAATATGAAAATCTGACTTGGGTGAAAAGCATAGCTTCCAATAGCGGAAGCAGAAAGGATGGTGAAATTAAAAGTCACAAACTTACTTTTGAAGGTGTTTGTTTCTTGCTCTGTGCAAGTGACTTGCATATACCAGTGGAGACCAGGTTGGCACCTGGAAAAATAAATTTTAATAAGATAAATTGCACCCCATAAAAGGTAAACACTTTTTATTATTTTTAAGAGAGTGCATGCAGTAACAGAATGAAAACAAATTTAGGTTTGATAAATGGAAAGAAACAGAACAAGCAGTCACATTGGATTTATATTCAATGTCTTCACAACACAGTTGGTTCTGGCTTTTTATGTCAAGATATTGGGAACACAGTGTTGTAAAAGTTTGTTTAAACATTCTATGATTCTTTCTGAACTTAAAACACCAGTGTTAGAAGACGCAGTTACAACACTATTCTGTTTTGTGGTAGAAATGGGACCTTCAAAATACCCTGCAAACAGTTGTAAATGGGTTTTGCCTTTTTCTTTTTATTTCAATGTAGTGTGTGGTTTTTTTTTAAAAAAAAAAAAGGACTGAAAGCTGTTTGTTTTGTTTTGGTTTTTTAGCTTCAGTCTGGGGAAGAAGTGTGTATATTTGAGGAAATAAAATGTGTTGATTTGTATAATGTAAAAAACTAGTACTTGTCTACCCTCTTTTTTTTGAGAAAACTCTTTCTGGACACCTTGAGAATTGATAGGATTATGAACTCCGTTACCAAGGAAGAAATGCGATTAGAAAGAAGTCTTTTTATTCTGACTGCTTAGAACTCCTAGTGGTGGGTTTTTGCCCCTTATAAAACCTGTTTGTTATACTCCTGAAGAATAGGTCTTTGATTAAATATTCAACACTCTTGCCCCTTCACTTAGGGCTCATCTAGACTACGCTGAAGTTTCAAAAGAGGATATGCAAATTCTGTGGGAATTTGAATCTCTTCTTCTGATCTCACTTTTGAAACCAAAAAAATGAGGTTTACGCAGCTTTTCGGGGGGGAAAAAAAGCAGGGGGGAGGTTGCCGAAAAAACCGCGTCCTGACTACTTTCACTTTCGAAGCTCCACTTTCAAAAGTGAGATCAGAAGAAGAGATTCAAATTCCCACAGAATTTGCATATCCTCTTTTGAAACTTCAGTGTAGTCTGGATGAGCCCTTTAGGACTGAGAATTTGCTTCTTCTGGACCTCCATAGAGAACTCCAGCAAAATTAGGGAAGACAGTTTTGACTCTTCCACTATTCTGAAGGTGAAGATCAGACTAAAAATGAAACCACTGCTAAGGTTTTGTCTATACAGAATCTCAACCATTCCAGCACTGTTAGACAACAGAACACGAATAAATCTTCACCTTCTCTGTCTATCCTCGGCTGTTCTTTGCATGTCCTCTGTAGTAAAATATCATACATTTTCCCTCTCTAAATACCATTCAATGGAGGTGGGTCTCTGTCAGCCTTTTTGCATGTTCTCCAGCCACCTGAAGGCATGGCTCCTATGGCAGATGGTCTGGATTCATTCATTGACACATCCATGATATTTCCATCATCTTTTCTAGTTAACATTTGGACATAAAATTAGTTACCTGTAGGCAAACAACAGCATGGAACTGTTGTAACCAGCAATGAGTAGGGATGAAAGTAACTAGTCGAGTTACTGATTAGCTGATTAAATGCAATTTAACATCCTTAGTAGTGGGACAATTGTAATGGAACTGATTTCTTCCAAAATTGTGCATAGAGTGCAAATAGAGACTAACATATGAGTGATGAAGTCAACATTTTAAAATTACTTTTTAAAAAGTGTTATAAAGTTGCCACTGTTCACTTGATTCTGTAATTTGAAATATTACAGTATAGTCGTCTAATTTAACTGAGTGGATAGGACCGTGTATAGTGACTCTGTATAACCAATATTTTTATTGCTGTTGCTGATATAGACGTGTGTGGCCATAGACAAGTTGCTTCACTTCTCTGAGAGTCATATTATACTATAAACATGAGAATGATGGTTACCCTTCA